ATTGTCAACTATGATAGTGTTTTTATCACTTTTTTTTGTTATGTTTCAAAAATGAAGTTATTGTAAAATATTTTTCTATTGCAGAGTATGTTAAATAAATTATAAAGCCTCAGGATGAAAATTAGAAAATATCTCTTGATTATGTAAGGGATTTATTTTTTGGCAATTGCTAAATTATTTTTTTTTTTAAAAAGAATTATTATGATAAAATTGAATTCTAAAAAACATGTGTGTGTATTTTGTAAACATTTACACTCAAAATTTTATTTTGAATTTCATTACATAAAGAAGACTACTTCTATAACTTTTATAAATAATAATAATTACATTATATGACTGTAAATTTTATAATAAAATATTAATTGAGTATTATATGGTGAACAATAATTAATAAAATTTTTATTTTTTCCTATATTAATGAATAAATATGTATTCTAAAATCAAATAAATATTAGTATGACGTGTTAGCGGAATTATAAATTAATTAACATGTTAATTTTTTGGCTTAAATAAACGCCACTTATTAAAAGATGTGAAATATGAATGATCCAAGCCTATTGTTTTTCTTTTGTCTAGACGTACAAGTCCTATAGAAATAATTGATTTATTATATGTATCACGTGCATCGCACGGGGTATGCACTAATAAATGACCTTAAAATTGTGCACCACGTGCATCACCCGTGTTCACATTTTGGCCTATTACAGGTCACGTACTATATATATCCCGTACATTTTTTTTATTCATTTATATAATTATAAGAATGGATAAATGACCTTAAAATTGTGCACCCCGTGCATCGCACGAGCTCTGTATTAGTTCATATTAAGTGTATGTAGTATGAATTGTATTTATATTTTTGTTGTATAGATATATTTCTAAAGTCGCTTTAGTAAGTCTAAGATGAGACTCTAACGAGTCGAATTTGAAATAATCCTGATTTCATATTAAAACCTTGAAGCCGAATCTCGAGTGGAAGATAACTTATTATGTATGGAGTTATGAAGTGTGAATTCATGTGTTCATTAATGTATAGTTGTTTGGACAACTATAAATAAGGTGCTTGTTCATCTTGAAAGAGAGAGGAAAACAAGTTGAGTTTATACCATCACAAATAATCTTTAAGTGCATTTTTCCTATTGAGCCAAAACCATTAAGGCGGCTCGGGTTTTAGAGCGTGGAGGATACCGACGACTCCAGTAGCCGTCGGATAAAAGATCCGGACAAGTTTTTTGCTTCTGCTACATAAAAATTAATCCTATATATATTTTTATATATATATATGTTATATAAAACCACTAACAATTGCTATTTTATGATTATGATATTTGTCTACCCAAAGATAGAAACAGGGGATAAGAAAAAACCTTAAATGCTTTTATATTTTCAGCTTCATTTTGTACATCAAAATTCAGGGGAACATAAATTATAGAGATCACTCTTGAAGACTACCTAGTACTTATAAAGTGATGTTCCATATAGCGATATATACCGTGTAACGAATAATGTTGTCATATAGTTTCATTTGCATCAAAGATGTTTGTGTCTTAAAGTCTTTATTTGCATCAAAGATGTTCGTTCATTTGCGTAAAAACATGGTTTCAAATTGCCCCCTCTATATACGTTTCTGTTTTAAAACCATGTTCATAGTAAC